CTCTGTTCATGATTTTGTCTCTAATCTGCATCAGATAAGGCTGTCTGTTTGAGGTGATTGAGGTGTGTTTTGTTGAAGCTTCAGCTGCTCTATCTAACTCTCGAGGCAACACAGCAATTGGAGCTCCTCTGGGTCTGTTTTTTCTGTATTGATTTGTTGGTTGGCTTGTTGTTTTTTTGCTTTGCTTTGTTGGTTTCTCACCAACTGGAGCTTGGAGCTTGTGCTAGCTCCAAGCTCCTCTTTATTGATGTAATCTTCTTTTCATTAATAGAGATTTCTTTTGTCGATCAAAAAAAAAACTTTCATCATTCATTGACAAATGGGGTTGTTTTTCTATTTTATCCATTAATGTGTTATGAAAATCCTCCATGTGAGTTTCATCATTTCTTAGTCTAATAGGTTGTTCCATTTTAGCCATTAATGGCTTAAGAAAATCCTCTATATGAGTTTCTTCATTTTTTGGCTTAATGGGCTGTTCTATTTTAGCCATTAATGGCTTATGACAATCCTTCATAGACATCTTATGTCCATGGTTTAACTCTTTAAGAATGGGTTTTTAACCCCCCAAGTCTTATATGGAACATTATTTTTGACCATGCTTGGCTTAATAACATGCTTTTTAGCCATGTTATTTTCATAAATTGGCTCTTTAAAAATGAGTTTTTTTGACCCCCCGAGCCATTGATGAAATCAACTCTTTGCTTTTGCTATTTTCAACCATGGAAAAATTCTGAAAAAATTCACTAATTCTAGCCATTAAAGCCTTAGTTAAAGACTTGGTTGTGAGAGTTAACAACTCATCATTCCATTAGCGAATTTTCATATCAAGTTGATGAATTTCTCCAATTAAATGATGTCTTTTTTCTTCCACCAAATAATATTGTGAGGGATGAAAGTTTATTTCATTAAGAAAATAGATCTCTTATTAAAGATCCAAAAATTTTTGGTTACGCCAAAAGATTTTATCTAGACTATTTGGAATGGAAAAATCTAATTCATTTTTCATTTCTTACACCTGATGTCCCACTGGGCATGTCAAAAATTGTTGGCTTATTTTTTTTATGAAGGAAAATATCATAAATGCGAGCGTACCAGCAAGGATTGAAAAATCCTTACAAATTAAATTCAAGCCAATTATCAAGCGATTGTGTTGTGCCTCAACAAAGAGGACTTTAAAACTACCAAGTCTAGGGAAAAGAAAAATTAAAAGAAGAATGAGGGAAACAGAAAAAAATGATTGAGTTAATAATCGAGGTGATTGAGTGAACAATCAAAGTAACTATTAATTACTTCTACTCCTATGCTTTGAAAAGGAAGTGCATAAAATAAAATGCATGAAATATAAAATCAATGTTAAACTACTTCTAAGATAAGGAAAATGACAAGAAAAATAGAAATCAATTGTCTTTGATTTGAGTTGGTCCCTTTACAATGTAGCCATGAATGACTATTTATAGGCAAACATTTGTAGGATAAAACTACATAAAACTACCCACTCTTCCACCTTCTCCATTTCATACTCCATGATCTTCTATGATCTTTCATAACTTCCTTCAACCTTTACTTCATGCTCCATGATCTCCATCACCTTTCCAAATTTCATAACTTCTCATAACCTCCAAATGAGTAGAGGGTGCCACATGTCCTGCAATTATATAAATAATAAATAATAAAATTGTAGATTTATGGTGCTAACAACTGCGAATTGGCTTGCAAAGTTGTTTGCTTCCGAAGCAAATCTGTCTCTATCTTCTCATCGTTCGTTGCATACTCTCTCTCTCTCTCTCTCCAATTTTGGACCCATCCCACTTCTTCATTCATCCAATTCAAGCATTGATAACCCAAAAATCAAGGGATTTTCATTCCAGTCTTTAATCTTATTATTTCTTATCTGCCATTTTTCTCTTCAACACAAGCCATTCTATTCCTCATAATAACTTTTGCTGTTTCTGAAGCCAAATCCCTCTTTTCTCAGCCCATCCTCTTTCTCCTTCCTCGTCTTTCTCTACTCAACTAGCCGCATAAAGATCCGCGTTTTGTGCTTTGTTTTTGTCTTTCTTTGTGTTTGTGTTTTCTTTTTTCACTTTTATTTTTTTGTGTTTTCCTTTTGTACTTTCTCTTTATCTCTGATGTGTTGTTGTCTATAAATTTTCAACTTTTTCAATAACTCATTTGTGAAAAGCTTCAGAATTTCGATTTGGTTGATCAGATTTGGAGAATTCACTAACCCATTCACAAATGTGGTTTTTTTTTTTTTTTTTTTGTGTGTGACATTTTGTATTTTTTTACCCATATCAAATCATTGGATACCTATTTCTAAAAGAACTGAAATTTTATCTTTTGATCATCGAATTTCAGGTTCCTAACCTTCAAAATTGACCATTTCATGGTTTCAACACATTGGGGATTCTTATTTGATCCATTATATTCTTGATCTATTATTGTAATATCATACAATGTATGGAACATAGAGCAGAATTTATTTATTTTTATTATTTGCTCTTACCGGTCGACCAGGAGGACGACCGGCCGATCGACCCCCCGGACGATCTGTGTTTTGATGACAATTACAAATTCACCGTTGGAGTGACTGATATCAGATAGAGGGATTCGTGCTTTTTTTTTTTACTCAGATTTGATGAAATATTTGGTGAACCGTTAGAGATGCCCTAACATGATAGCTCCTTGAAGTTTTTGACTTGAAAATTTGACATTCAAAAAAGTAAAGTTGCAACCAAGTAAAACATGAATCCATCTAGCATTCATGAACAGACCAACGAAAAGGTGAGGGTGTGTTTGGTTCAATTTTCAAATCAAATTTTCAAAACTCAAAATCCAAAACTTGTTGGCTTGATTTAGGGTTTTTGAAAACTCATTCTAAAAATCAAAATTCAAAACCCTAAACTCTAAGAAATTTTAATAGAGATTTCTAATAATAAATAAGAACCCTAAACCCTAAGAAATTTCAATGGGGATTTCCAAAAAAAAAAAAGAAAAGAAAGAAAACCTTAAATTATAAGAAATTTCAATGTGGATGATAATGAACCAGAGGGAAGAACAGCCGTGTGTGGTGTCTTTGAACTTGTATGCTGTGGTGTGTACTAAAGAAAAATGTTAGAGACCTTAAAAGTTTTATCAAATGTCTTATATAAGTATGAGACTTATATTATGTGGTTCCATAGCCATATGAGATATTTTGTAAAAGAAAAATAATTTGGATATCTAATTGCTTGTGTCGGCATCCAATTTCCATGCGGATCGCACAATACGAGGTTGCAGTTCTTCTTTACATCTCATTACTTAAAAGGGGTAACAACTATAAGCACACAACAGAGTGGGAAATATTATGCCAAGAGTATAGGGAATACAAAATAACCATAGATAGTTATTTAAGATAAAACTTTAACATAACTTAATTTGAATAAACAAATTATATTTAATTGACAGAAACTAAAATACAGAAATTATGTAAACAAATAATCATAACCACGATACAGAACAAAACAAAGGTCACATGAGTGACAATCATAATAGAAGTCAATGAATCCATGACAAATAGAGGGCCACAAAGTGACCAAATAGAAGCCAATGGTTATGTCTCCCAAGGCATGAGACTTCCGTGGTGGTACTTACAAAACATAATTGTTTATAAAATCATTGTCAAATAATTTCTAAAATTTAAACAAACATATTCACGGGTTTCATTTTAGAAAAACAGAGTTCAGAAAATAATCAACGTAATTGAAATATTAATATAATTTATAAAACACAAATTGCGTAAAATAAATTATGATAACTCAAAACACACGTAAAATATATTATTGTGACTCAAAGTATAATACAACTCACTTTAATGTTAATCTCTCACCATTTCTTCTCCATTCACGGAAATTTCCCCTTTTATGGACGGACTGCACCTCCTTTTGCTCCTTATATTTATCGAAAATATCTTTTCAGGCACTATTTCCTTTCCCTCTAAGCAACCATGTGGTATCACCACGTGGCCCCCTCTTTTACTGCATGTTTATCCATAAGGATAAACTTCTGATTCGTTTTTTTTTTTTTTTTTTTTTTTTAAGCTTTTGATTCGTTTTTTTTTTCTTTTCTTTTTGTTTTGTTTTGTTTTGTTTTGTTTTGTTACATTATTTTCAAATGTATGAGTGCATTGGTATTTCAATTATTAAAGGGGGTGGCAGTGATATTGCAAGAAAACAGAGGGGTATGAGTGTAATTTGCCCTTAATTAATTGATAATGTCGGGAAAGAAATATCGGAATCTCATATCTTTTTTGGGTGAAGGTGAATAGAGCCGTGAAGGTGAATAGAACCTCATATCTTTTTTGGGTGGGTGAAGGTTAATAGAACCTCGTATCTCTCTTTTTTGTCTTTTTTGGGTGTATAAATATCGAAACCTCATATTTTTTTTGGGTAAAGGTGAATAGAACCTCATATCTTTTTTGGGTGAAGGTGAATAGAGCCGTGAAGGTGAATAGAACCTCATATCTATCTTTTTTGGGTGAAGGTTAATAGAACCTCGTATCTCTCTGTTTTGTTTTGTTACATTATTTTCAAATGTATGAGTGCATTGGTATTTCAATTATTAAAGGAGGGTGGCAGTGATATTGCAAGAAAACAGAGGGGTATGAGTGTAATTTGCCCTTAATTAATTGATAATAACGACAAAGAAATATCGGAACCACATACCTCTTTTGGGTGAACAGAACCTCATATCTTTATAAATATTGGAACCTCATATCTTTTTTGGGTGAACAGAACCTCATATCTTTATAAATATTGGAACCTCATATCTTTTTTGGGTGAACAGAACCTCATATCTTTATAAATATTGGAACCTCATATCTTTTTTGGGTGAACAGAACCTCATATCTTTATAAATATTGGAACCTCATATCTTTTTTGGGTGAACAGAACCTCATATCTTTATAAATATTGGAACCTCATATCTTTTTTGGGTGAACAGAACCTCATATCTTTATAAATATCAGAACCTCATATCTTTATAAATATCGGAACCTCGTATCTTTTTTGGGTGAACAGAACCTCATATCTTTAGAAATGGAGGATTTGACGAACGAAGCTCTTGAAGCTCCTAGAGATTTTAAAAACTTCTCTGCACTCAGTTGTATCGATCTTTCAAGCCCAGACATTCTTAACTCTGTTTCTTTACTCAAACAGGTACTCTCTCTCTCTCTCTCTCTCTCTCTCTCTCTCATATATCTGGTTTTTTTGATTGATTGATTATATACGGATTGGAAAATTATTAGTTGGTGTGTAGCGTCATGTGATCAATCACAATCCACACAATACAACCAACCAATAACATGTCCGATTGTTGATGTTTGGTGCTTTAAGCACGGTCAGATTATAAGCGGTGTTCAACTTGGGATCTTATTGGCAAATTTACACTTTCGCATCCTATACTTTACCTACAAACTGAGATTTTAGTGAAAGTATATTATAGATGATAAGGCTAGCATAGAAGGACTAAAGTGAGATAGTGGTAAAAGTATAAGGTTGCATCTTATAGTTTACCTTCAATCTCATTTGATCCGTTGAACTTTTAATTATCTCACTCAGCTTCTCTTTTAAACTAAACATTTACAAAAATTAGTCAATTTTCTGCACAGTGAAACGTGGATGATCAAGAGCTTTTGACTGCAATGTCATTATTAGTTTTATTTTTTATTTTTTATTTTATTTTATTTTTTTTTTGGAACCATAAAAATGGGCAATGCCGTTAGGTTAGTTAGTATTTAGTTGCTCAATTGTGTTACCATTTCTTTGTATGAGTCAGTCATTGAACTAAAGTACCATATTGTTTTATTTTAATCTCTCTTTTTCACACACACAAAAACACACCGTTTTTTGTTAATTGGTTTTTATATCCTGGCTTATCCTTTGCTTCCTCTCTTTTCTACAGGCATGTTTGGATTCTGGGTTTTTCTATGTGATCAATCATGGAATCAGCCAGGAATTTATGGATGAGGTTTTTTACCAAAGCAAAAGTTTTTTTGATCTACCAGTAAGTGAGAAAATGAAGGTTCTTAGAAACAAGACACATCGAGGTTACACTTACCCTTTCAGTCAACGTTTGGATCCTGTCAATCAAATACAAGGTTTGTTTTGCTATAATTTTTCTAGTGTCACACTACTTTTTAGCAATAAGCAGAAAAGTGAATATCATATCAATATGATGTTTTTTTTAATACAAGTTGACATCTATTGTATAGCTTGGTATGTGCATGACATGTATGTGTATATATATGTATATATTGTGCTTGTATGATCATGCGTGTCAAGAAGTGGCTTGAGTGCTAGGAAAATTAGACTTTCGCCTAACATCCCCACATAGTAAGAGGCCTCACTTTTATATAGTTTAATATGATAAATATAAATTTGCAATCACACTAACTGTTAAAAAAGTAGGGATAGTTGTCTTAAATTTGCATTTGGAATTTTTGTACAAGGTGACATCAATGTTTAAATTTGTTTTGGGAATTGAAAGTTTTAAATTAAGTTTTGCAAGCTGAAGGGAGCACTTCAATTGATATATTGAATAATTAAAGAAAACTAAAATTTCTAATGCATCTACGATTATAAAATTTCTCCTTCCAAACACACATTAATGTGTACTAATTGGGCCTTGTTTTTTATTTTATTTTATTTTTTTTATCTATAACAGTTGCATTGCGAAGAAAAAAAAATTAAAATGGATAAAGTTCAACCTAAGATTGATTAAGTCATAAGAAACAATAAGTGAACTACCCACAATATCAATTACAAATGATATGTTAGAAAACTTGAATGTAATTTGTAATTTTGCATTTGAAAAGAAAAGAAAAATATATTTCAAATGAAAATCTTAAAAAGGCTTCATTTATGTTTTTTATGCCTTAGGCCTCAAACAAACTTGAGCCTATATGCATTCATATATGTTCTTGTTTACATAATTATATTGTTGCCTTCCTACTTCGAGATGCCGCCCACATTGTTTTATTTTTTATATTGTCCCATTCTTTTCTTCTTCCAGTTGATCCATTTTTCTTGATTTATTGTTGTTTAAATTTAAACTAATCATAACAGAGAGATCCTTGTTTCATAAAAAATAAAAATATTGATTATCCTATTTTACGGATATAGGAGATTATAACGAGGGATATAACATTGGAATAGAAGTACCTGAAAACGATCCTGACATAGAAAAGCTATTATACGAACCAAATGTTTGGCCCCCTTCTGGTAAGCTACAAAATCCATTCAAGTCTTAAGAAAGTGCGAAGTATGAGTAGTTCATGCCATGTCCCAATCATCTCTCTCTCTCTCTCTCTCTCTCTCACACACACACACACACACACACGCACATACACACACATTAGAGCTTAATTCAACTTGATGTGATTTAAGCATTTGAGCATTCTTCGTGGTATTGGTTTTGTAATCAGTATTAACCCCTTTGGTCTTTTGGCCGTTTGAAAGATATCTTGCCTGGATGGAGGGAAACTATGGAGAAATATCATAGAGAGGCACTGTAAGTTTTGTTCAAGTTTAATCTTTTTGTAATGAACTTCATATACTACTGGCAGATGTATTTGCTGCTTTGTATCAAACATTATAACTCTCCATGCAGCAAATAGAATTATCTTGTCTTGTTTTGGTGTCTAAGCATAAATGCTGCATCATATTATTTTCTCATTGTTATCTAATATGAATACCCTATTGTCAATTTAAAAGTATTGCATTAGACTAATAAATCTTGGAAAATATCTCATTATGGGAAGGATAACTTCATATCAAATATTGGAAGTTCTATATATACTAAAGAAAGGCTTAGGGATGTGAGCTAAGAGCATAGACCGAAGAACTGCAGGAGAGAACTCATACCTTTATCCCATCTGGTCTTGATGGCATAGTTTGGTGGGTCCTGCAAAGCTTGGTTGACGAGTTTGTCTGTTGTAATTATACGAGCTCATCCCTTGCCATGAAATTTTATGGTGATGGATGATAATAATATTCTAAGACCATGAAGATTCATATTTATATATATTTTCATTATGAAAACATGGCATGTATTGCTTTTTAATCTATATTGTCCAGTCGTTTTAACTTCAATTCTTACATGTTTTCCCAATCACTAAGATCTTTTATATTTTGAAACATTTTTGGTGATGCAAATTAGCATAAAATATGCTGCATAACTTGAGGAATAATAACAAAGAATTAGGTTGAGTGAATTGTTTTAGCCACTGAGGTATATTTCTAAACACCATTGTTAAATTGGGACATGTATAAAACCAATCCAGATAGTTGTTCTATTGGGAGTTGTTCTCCTTTCCCACTAGAAATTCATTTGTAGAAAAATAGCAATTACCTATCATTCCATTTAACCCTTGTGACTTGTCCGGCCATGATTTCATGCTTTCAGTTTTATATATATGACATTGTTCATATGATTGTTTATATGCATGCTAGTGAGGTGGCAAAAGCAATTTCAAGGATCATAGCTCTTGCACTTAACCTCAAGGTTGACTTTTTTGATAGACAAGAAATGCTTGGGAAGCCTATTGCAATCTTGCGTTTGCTACACTATGAAGGTGAAAATTAAATTGAAGATCATGGAATTCTAATGTAATTGATGTCACCTGTATCATGACAAGTGTTTGGTTATTCTTCAGGTAGTGTTTTTGATCCGATGAAGGGAATATATGGAGCAGGTGCACATTCTGATTTTGGTTTGATAACGCTCTTGGCAACAGATGACATCTATGGTCTCCAAGTACTGATATAGTTAAGAATTTGAATTGTATTTCTAATATATTTTGTGAGAAAGGGATTGTGATCTTTTCAGTTTATTACAGATATGCAAGGATAAGGATGCTAAACCTCAGAAGTGGGAATTTGTAGCACCATTAAAAGGGTTAGTAAATAAAATCTTCAGAGACTTGATTGGTTCCAAAGGCACTGCCTAGGATTGGTTTTCAATTATCAAAAAATAAAGGAAGAAAACTTTACATAATTCTGGACAATATTAGACACCTTTATTGGAGCTAGTGTAAGTTTTCTACATGCTTTTGTGATCATGCGCTGAGGTTAAATGAAAGGGACCATATATTACATTTAGATGCTACAATTTGACGTAGAATGAATCTTTTACTGTATTATTAGCATTTTATTACTGTCTTGATGTTTGAAATCTAACTTTCAGAGCATTTATAGTGAATATTGGTGACATGCTAGAGCGCTGGAGCAACTGTATTTTCAGGTAATGTGCATTTGCCAAAGTTCCTAAATGATGGTTTTGTAGCTTCATGAAAAGTTCCTAAATGATGGTTTTGTAGCTTCATGACAATCAGTCGGATTATTATTATTATTTTATTTTTTCCAGTTGTTTATTGTGAGATAATATTGAGTACGATATGGGACATTGCCTTCTTTAGAGCAAAAAATTGCAAAACAATAATTTCTCATTGCCACCACCATGAATGCCAATTTTTCTAGTATGTGGTCTGAGTGTTGGGATTATAATTTTATGGTACATGGGTATCTGTGTTCACTTGCTTAATTTTGTCCAGGTCCACATTGCATCGAGTGCTGGGTAATGGTCAGGAGAGATATTCTGTAAGGCCCCTTTAAAGCTTTTGAATGTTGTCTAATTGCATAGTCTACAAAGGATGTTGATAATGAAAAGTTTGCCTTCTTATGCAATATTATCGTCTAACATACACAATGGCCCTTTTTGTTTTTTTGCTTTCATTTTATTCGATTTATTTATATTTATTTATTATTATTATTTTTTCATTGAGCAGATTGCATACTTTGTGCAACCTAGTCACGATTGTCTTGTTGAATGCTTGCCCACCTGCCAGTCGCAAGAGAACCCTCCCAAGTAAGTATCCATTGAACACGGATAAACTATTCATACCTGCATTGATCTAAGTATGAACACAGATTAACCATTGATAACTGCAACTGATCTGAGTACGCATGATCACAAATTAATTATCACCCACACAATGACGTGAGGACCATTGACGTCATAATTACGTGCAACATATGTGGACAAGTGGGAACCTCTAATTGTACTCCAAAACAATGGTTGGATCCCCCTTCCTTTGTACACCCCATTCTCGAATTTAAATTTTGTTGATTTTCTTTGAACACCCCAATTAATTCCCACCGTACCCGCACCCGTCCAACCTATCGGCCAGCCACCCAGCGCACCAGTGCCACCTCCACCACCCCTTCCTTTCCCTCCCTTTCTCTCCCCACCGCCTGCTGCCCGCTCCTCGTGCTCCCCAATGCCACCCTCTCCTTTCTTCTTGATGCCCCCCACCTCTCTGCAACACCCCACAGCCCTCCCCTGACCTTTTTCTCAAACCCTAATCCAAACCACATCACCCACCATCGCCAAGGGAGAGATAGAGAAAATGGGTAGGAGGTGGGCAACAGAGGGGGGAGCCATGGGGGAGTTGCTTAAGTGGGGGGAGGAAAGAGGAGATGGTGTAGATGAGCCTTCAAGGTGGTACCGAGGGTGGGTAGGGGGCTGGGGGACGCGGGAGGGTCTAGCCGGAGCTGGTTTAGGGTTGTCTTTTTTTTGTAATTTGACATAGAGGTCAAATGGTATTAAAAAAGGGGAAAAATTCACTTTTACTCCTTGTGCTTTGAGTTTGGGGCACTTTACCTATCCGTGATTCAAATATAGATGGTTTAATTAATAAAATTTATGATTAATTTAAGATTAAGTGTATAATACCAGAGATAAAGAGGATTAATGTTAACGGATGTTAGATTGCAATTTAGTCCAAACCATAATGGGGCAAATATGCCTATATTTAAATTACATGTGGGTAAAGTGATCCGGCCTCAAACGATAAGGGGATAAAGTGAAATTTGAAAAAAAATACCAAATTTGGGATGTCTAACAATATCTTTGGGATGCATTTAAAGGCTCCCTGGATAACTGAGTTGGTTTCTAATTAAAATTTAAAACCTTTTTGCATTAATAAAAATGCATAAAGGATATGCTCGACTTCTTTGTTTTCGTGAAGTTTCTCTATTTTTTACTGCTTCTTTTCCACCAGGTTTCCTCCTATCAAATGTGAAACTTACATGCTCCAGCGGTACAAGGATACTCATGTTGTTCTCGAGTCATACGAAAAATGATTCACCAAACTCTGTTGTCAATATTACTGGGATTTTCGCTTCAAGTGTAGAACACAAAGGTTAGCTCCTTCCTGCCACAGTTTGTATGGAAACAGGTTCTCTTAGTTGAATATTGGAGAAATATAATGTAATCTTTTTTTGGTTGCAAATGTAATGTTGATATATATGTAAAACATGTATGAGAATATGTGAAATATTTATTAAAATTTTAACTTTTTTTTATATATTTTATTTTTACATTATTTGATCAATTGCAGGATTTTTATTTTGTATGCTACATTTACATTTGAAAGAGTTCACAAAGCAAATAATTAGGTTATGTTGTGCATTGTGGAGAAAATAAGTTTTCACTATGGACCTATATTTGGTTAATATATATGTTCCATTCATTTGACATTTGATTAATGGTTGTAATTGCCACAAGTTGCACTACTGTTTGGTAATGTTTTTGTTTTTAATTTTTATTTTCATTTTTTGGAAAATGCAAAATAAATATTTTTGCAAATTATTTATTACTGGAAATGATTTTTGTGAAAATTTTCTGAAAACAATTCACTTTAAAAAAAATTAAAGTGACTATGTATCCCATCATGTGTTTTATAGGTTTTTCGTGTAATTTTCATTCAGATATGACTTATCTCTATGTGAATTGGACCACATCGTTGTCTCATTTGGGCTCACCATGTTCTTATTTTGAGTGTGTTTTGAATCTGTCCAACTGCTATTTCTCCTATTCCAATGGCTATATTTGCTCTCCAATGGTCATATGAAGATGAGGGATTATAAATAGAAAATCTATATTCATCTACAAGTGAGAGAGAGGATAATCTCCAAAGAGGAGAAAATACAGTAATTTCATACTGTAACTTTCATTTCATCTCTATGAGCTTTAATTGTTTAAATCCAACTCTTTAGGAGTTTATCGTTTACGCATTTTTTTTTATCTACAAATCATCTATAAATGGTTGTTATACCCATGAGCTTCATTGTGAGTGTTTGAGAGAGAAACACTTGAGAGATTTGATAACACCAAAAAGTGGGCTGTTTTGGTGAGTTTGTTTTTTGGGAATTTTGGAAGAAAATTATTGTTGTAAAAGTTATGCAAGTATCTGGTAAACTTGCTGGTGTAAATCTATTAGATGAATAGTGAAAATACTCGAGGGAGAGTCTTGAGGAGTGGATGTAAACTTGGATGGAAACCGAACCACTATAAATCTTGTGTTTGCCTTCTCTCTCTATCTCTCCTTTAAATTTATAATTGCTGCTCTGTTGTGCTTTGACTTGATTTGCTCGCACACATTATTGCTCATATTTTATATATTCATTCTTTTATTTTACTTGAGCAAGTTAATTTTATTGAATTATTTTATTTTAAGTTATATTTATTAACTTAATTTCCCCCTCTTGTGTTGTCAACGTGGTGCAACACTATGAAAAAAAGTTCAACCTTGCTCTGTTTGTTACATATATAAGCAAGTTCAAATTAAATTTTTAGGCTTGTTTAATAAACCCAGTAAGAGCTCAACTCTGCTTGTTACATATATAAGCGAGGTCAAATTAATTTTTAGGCTTGTTTAACAAATTCAGTAAGAGTTCAATTCTGCTCAGTTTATTACATATATAAACAATGTCAAACCAATCTTTTGAGCTCGTTTAATAAATGAATCACTCGAGGTTCAAGTCAATTTTTTTCTTCATTATTGAGTTTCAAACAAAACTCGAGCATAACTTCATTATTAAGTTTCAAACCAAAATCGTTCATTATTCAGTTTCAAACCAAACTTCATCATTTTTCTTCATTATTAAGTTTCAAACCAAACTCGAATATAATTAATATTAAGGAACTGAGCTAAGCTCAAGCATTAATTAGTATAAATATTCGAGCTCAACTCAAACTTTTCTTTTTTGAGCTAGATAAACAAACCAGTTCAGCTCGGCTCATTTGCCACACTGGCCACTAAGAACTCACAACTACGAACTGAGCTGAGCTCAAGCATTAATTACTATAAATATTCAAGCTCAACTCAAACTTTTCTTTTTTGAGCTAGATAAACAAACCAGTTCAGCTCGGCTCATTTGCCACACTGGCCACTAAGAACTCACAACTACGAACTGGAAATAGGTCAATGGGGGAAGATACAATTTAGCTTTGGGCCAAAGAACACGGGGATTGATTTATTAAAAAACACTGTATTCTATTACAATTACACATAGAAGGCAGTTAGGCTGAAAATCATTTGTCCAGCTCTGTCGCTTTCTCATATCCTTCTGTTTTGAAATCTTTCTATCATACGATTCAAGTGAAGCTTAGCATCAAAAGTTAGTAATACATCTTGAGAATGACAAGCTTGGCATTCCAAATCCTCAATTGAGGCAAGTGGTTGATTCTACAAGTACCACCACATCGGATGCTTCACAGGCCAGTTTGAATTTCTCCATATTTCCACAGCTTTTGTGACTTCACAGAGACTACTAAACTGGTAGTGAGTAGCAAGTAGAGACTGAAGTTGACAATGTTTAAACTAAAACCAACCTTTCATCCAACCCGACTCTTACTATCATGGTTCTAATATGAACTCTAAAGCTTACAACACCATGATTGGAATGTAGAGGGAAAAGGAGAGACACCAAACACGAATATATAAGACTCTGAAGAAACACACTACATTAACTACTAGCCATAGTTTCTGCTCACAATTCAACAATTCATCGGAAGCTTCTGTAATTGGGAGTATACATGCAGCTTTCAGCGTACTTCACCAGAATATCAGGCCGAGGGAGACGCGTTGCCAACCCTAGGAAACATTGTGAAAGTCATAAAAATAAACATGCTTCAAAGGGCAATTACAGCGGAGGTAAGACACATGAAGCAACCAAAGGTACACTTACTAACTCACCAAGTTCATATGCTTTAGCAGCCACATTAGCAGCAATGTGGCCAGAGATCTTTATGATATTAGAGAATGGTGGATATATCAAACCCTTGTCCAAATTCTCTTTTGTTACTTGCTCAGCCAAAGCCTTTGCTGTTACAAAGGAAAGTAGATGATTTAGATACAAAGGTTAACCATTCTATCTATTTGTCGTGCCTGTCGCCTAGAATTGCAATTTAATAGATTTCACCAAAAGTTTTCGTAGTGCTTCACACGTGATTATGGGCAACCCAGTGTAAAAAACTTCTGTTAAAAGGATATCTAGAGAGGGCAAGATGTACAGAGACTGTTTCAATGACTTGAACCTGCGCCACCAGTGACACTAATGGCAAATCGCCCTTATAGAACCAGATCACACATCAAAGGAATAAAACAAACACAAGGTGCTTTTTGAGTTCACATTCTATTGGAATCTGAGTAAACATCTCAGAACTTTTTCTAAAGAGAGTCTATTCATTATTTATGACTTGCATAGCTATGTGACGAAGTGAAAGGGAAAAAAATAATAAAGCATAAGCAAAATGACATAAATTAAAGGAATGAATTCCTTGCTCTTCAATTAGCAAGTAAATTGTATTCAACTTATAATGTATCTAATTATGTAATATGTAGTGCACTTACAGGCTGCCAGAAGCATTTCATCGTATACACGAATTGCACTAGAGATGACCAAACCCAAACCAAATCCATTGATCACTAAAAAACAAAAAAACAAAAGGTGCCATCAAAATCAGTTTTTAGTATCCATCTCAGATGTATTAAGTATATAACACCAAAAAACTGGAAGTATAAAGTAATAGAACCTGGCCAGGTAGATAGAGTTTTCCATTGTATTCGACAGGGTCAAATGGACTTCCACTGGCAAAAATTGCATGTCCCTTTTTTACAGCAAAGAAATTTATTAGTTTTATATTTAAATCCAATCAGAGATTACTTTGCATCAAAGCATCAAATTATAGGATAAGAAAAAATGCATGATTAATTTTTACCTGACTCCAGGTGTAAGCTTCTTCAGCTGTGCACTCAGATTGCGAGGTTGGGTTGGAGAGAGCCATAATGAGAGGTTTCTGCATGCCATTCATTTAGAATCTTATTATAAAATTTTGGAGAGAGAGAGAGAGAGAGAGAGAGAGTACCTCATTGAAGGAGGCCATGGCCTCAATCACCTCTTTTGTGAATGTTCTTCCCACTCTAGATGAACCAAATGGACTTCCAAAGGTACACTCACTAACTCACCAAGTTGATATTGTTTAGCAGCTACATCAGCATCAAATGTGGGCCGAGATCTTTTTGATATTAGAGAATGGTGGATAGATCAAACCCTTGTCGAAGTTCTCTTTTGTTACTTGCCCAGCCAAAGCCTCTGTTGCTACAAAGGAGAGTAGATGGTTTAGATACAAAGGTGAACCATTCTAGCTATTTGTCGTGCCCGTTTGCATAGAAGAAACTTCAATTATATAGGTTTTTCCAAAAGTTTTCCATTGTGCTTCGCACATGATTATGGGTAGCCTAGTGTATGAAGCTTCTACTAAAACAGGGATCTAGAGAAGATAAGATGTACATAGTCTTTCTCTCATTTTTGAAGAGACTGTGTCTATGACTTAAATCTGTGCTACTAGGGATGCTAATGGCAAGCCTTACCATTGAGCCAAATCGCCCTAACAAAACCAGATCACACATCAGGGGAATAAAACAAACACAAGGTGTCATTTAGTTTACATTCCATTGGAATCTGAGTAAACATCTCAAAACTTTTTCTAAGAGTATGCCCTATATAGATATGTGACTAGAGGAAATGGAAAAAAAAAATAAAGCAAAGTAAAATGAAATAAAAATGAAGGAAAGAATTCCTTTCTCTTCAATTAGCAAGTAAATTGTATTCAACTTATAATATATCTAATTATGTTATATGTAGCGTACTTACAGGCTGCCGGAAGCATTTCATCATGTACACAAATTGCACCAGAGATGACCAAACCCAAACCGAATCCAAGGAAAACATATGCATTATTTGCTTGAATGGATCACAAAAGAAAAAAGAAAGAAGAAAAGGCCATCAAAATCAGTTTTTAGTATCCATCTCAGATGTATTAAGGATTTTACACCAAAAAACTAGAAGTACAAAGTAAAAGACCCTGGCCAGGTACAAAGACTTTGCCGTTGAATTCCATAGGGTCAAATGGACTTCCACTGGCAAAAATTGCATGTCCCTCTTTTTAGAACAGAGAAATTTATTAGTTTTACATTTAAATCCAATCAGACATTACTTTGCATTAAAGCATCAAATTATAGGATAAGAAAAAATAAATAATTTATATTTACCTGACTCCAGGCGTAAGCTTCTTCAGCTGTGCACACAGATTACGAGGTTGGGTTGGAGAGAGCCATAATGATAGGTTTCTGCATGCCATTCATTTAAAGTCTTGCAAGAAAATTTTGTGTGTAGAGAGAGAGAGAGTAGCTCATTAAAGGAGGCCATGGCCTTGATCACCTCTTTTGTGAATGTTCTTTCCACTCCAGATGAACCAATTAGAACTGTCGGCTTGATAGCCTGATGACATTTGAAAATGAAATAGAGTCCAACAATCACTGAGAACTATCTTCTTATAATAAAATATAGACACAAAGGGAATGCATCAAACCTTGACAGCATCTAAAAGATCCTTAATGGGTTCATGTTTTGGAGCCCAAGGTTATGATTAATCCCTGCAACAGAAATCACATGCTATGATTAATGCAAGATACAAGTGCCAAAAAAGGTAAAAATGGAAACAAAATAAAAATATGAACAGTCATGATCGACTAAATATCCATCATTTAGCAAGGAACCTTCACTAGACTTTTCACTACCTTTGAGTCCACAAGCCAGATCTTCTTATGCATCTCTTCCAAAGGAGCTTTGGTCTATAACAGACGAATAAAACAAGAGAATCACGAAGCAATCGTGAGAATATATATTGTATATATGGTATGATTGTGAAAAAATAGGAATCTTTGTATTTCCTTTTTCATTTAGGCTATATAAATCGATGACCTCTTTGTAAACAATACACAATTGAATATACGAATTCTTTTAGAATACTTACATGGTATCAGAAGTGTGTTCGTGACCTTAGCGCTGTTATCTTCCTCAGTTGTCTCTAATCAGTCTCTGTGCTCACAAACCCTAGCACCATCATCTGCCTCAGCCGTCAGTCTGTGTGATTGCCAGCCCTAACCGTCAGTCTGTGTGTTCGCGAGCCCTAGCACGATCGTCTCCCTCAGCCCTTTCTGTTGAGTCTTGTCGTCGTCTCCCGTAGTCATTTGCTTCTCCTCGCCTCATCTCTGCTTCATCTCATCTCGGATTACATTGTCGCGACCACTGTATCTCTCTCTCTCTCTTCTCATGTAGCCTAGTTTGGTTTAGGGTTAATAAACTCAAAATTTATTTTAGATTTATTATTGTTTGACCCAACACCTTCTGAATATTATAATTCTATAACCCTTGTTTCATTATAATGTTGGACACTAAAACCCAAGCTATCAAGTGCAAACTCACTGGTAACAATTATGCCTATTGGGCCAGTGTTATGAAGAACTTCTTTCTTTGTCAGAAAAAATAGAGATATGTTTCTGGTTCTATTCCTCAGCCATTGGACTCGAAGGTGGAAGGATATCTGACTTCCTGTGATACTTGGGATTGTGATAATGCCCAAGTTCTGACCTGGTTTCATAATTTTGTGGATGACCGTATTGGAATGATGTTTTCTAAATATAGTACTGCCAAGGAGGTGTGGGATTATTTACTAGGTGTTTATCAGCAGTCTAACTTTGCCAAGTGGTATGAGTTAGAAACAACTATTCAGAGTGCACATCAACGAGATCAAACTATTCAGGATTTCTATAGTGATATGAAAAGTCTCTGGGATCAATTGGCTCTCATGGAACCATCTAGCCTCAAGGCATTAGACACTTATGTTGAGTTTCGAGAACAGGGTCGTTTAGTGTAGTTCTTAACGGCTCTTTCCTCCCAATGTGAGGCTATCCGTGGTGGCATCTTTCATTGGTCTCCTCTTCCCTCTATGGATGCTATTGTTCGTGAGCTCCTCTCCGAGGAAACCCGTCTTAAGACGGCCAGTCAAAATCTGTCTCCATCTGTCTTCTTAGCTCCTACTCAGCGTCCTCTGCTGTCAAACCCCTCTCATCAGCTTCAGGTCATTGCAAAGCCCAAGAACGGGCCACTAGCCTCAGATGAGTGTGCTTTTTGTCATCAGAAGGGACATTGGAAGTACAATTGTCCCAAGAAGGGTTGTCAGTTTGCTCAGTCTTCTTAGCCGTCTCAGCCACAGTTCCGAGGTCCTACTTCGAGTATTGTTCACCCTCTTACTGCTTATACTGCCTCTACTTTAGCTTCTAATCCTGACTTGGCTTCCTTGAGTGCCTAGATTGCCTAGCTTCAGCATCTCTGGTCCATCTCTCAGTCATCTTCATCTGCTTCTGCTCTTATCTCTTTTAATTCAGGTTTGCTTAGGTCCTCTTTAGGTATTCCTTTCTCTATCTGGCTTTTTGATGCTAGTGCCTCTCATCATATGACTCCTCACCTTTTCTCACTCCAAAACTAATGGGTCTGGTATGTCTGTCTTATCTTTTGGCTCTGTCTTATCCTTTGCCATGTCTACTATTACTATTTCCTCTATTCTTTATGTTCCTCAATTGTCTGTTAGCTTAGTTTCTATCAGTCAACTTAATGCTTTTGGTTTTGATGCTATCTTTTCTTCTTCTGTCTGTTGTGTGCAGGATCGGGTGTCCAAGAAGCAGATTGGGACCGGCTGTAGAGCTGGAGATCTCTATGTGGTGGAAAGTCTACATCTTCCTCTTTCTACGTCTCCCGTTGCACTTTCATATTTTCAATTAGATTCTCAGTCGAGTTAGTTTTATTTATGGCATTCTTGCTTAGGTCATTTGTCTGTTGACCGTTTGCAGTCTTTAGCTCAGTCAGTATTGTTAGGTAAAGTTTCTCCTAGTCAAATTAATGAGTGTCGAGGATGTAAATTTGCTAAAATGACAGCTTTACCTTTTAATAACAATACTTCTATTTCTACTTCCCCTTTTTCTCTTGTACATACTGATGTCTGGGGCCTTTCTCCTGTTCTCACTAAAGGGGGTTTTGCGTACTATGTGTCCTTTGTTGATGATTGTACCCGTTATATCTGGGTTTATCTTATGGCTCATAAATATGACCAAAGTACAGTCAGACATTTGTGAACTGAAGGAAATGATAAAGCATGTTCTTCAAAACCAAACAGATTTAATGGACATGTTGCGACATTTTTGAGGCAAGCAAGTAGTTGGCAATGAGAAGGTAATCTATCCAATCATTACGTATATTTGACAGAGTTGACCCACATCATTTCAAGATGAATTATGACACTAAGTTAATCTATGTGTTTGTATGATTAAGCAGAAGGCGATGATGTGTGTATCATTAACCTTTCCTCCAATGTTGCTGAACTCAAGGAAATGCTGAAACAACTGCTTCAATGTTTTAGTTTTGGCAGTAACCAACCGTTGACTGAACAAACCAATTTTGTTGAACTGAAGCAAATGATACAGCATGTCGTGGAAGGTATATTTTCTAGACCACAATCGGCAGGCGTGAAGAAAAAGGATGTGAACCCTTCTGTTAGAGTGGAGGTGCATGATGATGGCGTGGTAAAAGCAACTGATGAAGTTAACCCAATAAAGTGTAATATTTCAGATGTACAAGGGGTGGATCACCAAGAACAGAATGTAAAAGGAATCTTGACAAGTGAGAAAAGTGATTTGCATGATGGACATAAGCTTAACATAGAAAATGTTGGGGACAACCAGAAGAAGGGGGGCCTTAACTTGGGGGAAAGATACTGTCACGTCCCAAACCCGTCCCTAAAAGTTTGGACATGACTACCTCAGAAACGGACATAAAACCTGATGTATATAACGTATGGGGCCTAAACAGAAGCATTTACTATTATACAATAACATACAGAATAACATCCATCGAGCTAATACTAACATGCCAGGATCACATACTCATGTTCAGCCCCCTTACTGAGTATATAACCAAATAGTGGTAAAGGAATGGGTCATATACATACATTTAAACTTTAGGTAAACAATTAAAGTGCAAAAAGTGCACGCCACAATCTTAACAAAACTTCACAGAAACGCATGGCTTGGTTTGGGTGCCTGGACACACTGAGGTTGATAACTGAAGGGCGAGTGTCAAGGGTTAAGACGAACTTCCAAAGTGATTACCTACAGAATAGACATAACACAAAGTGAGCGAAGCTTAGTGCATAATAGTACATAAACAATTTAATGCTCATCTTGAATTATAATACATATCAGTGCGTATATAAATAGAGAGGGCATATGGTTAATTTGATTCTGCATTAATTCCAGAACGGCCTTAGGCCCAGTCTTCAAACATAATGGCTTTAAGCCCTTGAACGGAGTGGCATTAAGCCCTTATACAGAACGGCAGGAAGCCCTTAACAGAACGGGATAAAGTCCATATCAGAACGGGATAAAGCCCTTATCATGCGTGTATGAACTCAAGAGGTGACTCGTATTGCAGCACTTAGTTCCGTATAGCACTTTGTTTCATACTAACAAATCATACACAATGGCCATAGGCCTTATAACTTTCACAGAATGGCCATAGGCCTCAGAACTTTCACAAAATGGCTATAGGCCTCATAACTTTCACATCGGCTTTAAGCCCAGTTCACATATGTATGGACTCAAGAGGTGGCTCGCACGGATTCTAGAGGTGACTCGCTTTGCAGCACTTAGTTCCGTACAGCACTTTGCTCCATACCAGAAATCATTAGTGGACTAGTCCCGGAGTTATACAGAGACATACAGGTTCTTTCATTCATTCACGTGAGTCAACATAACTAATTTACGTTTAATTGAGTGCTACAGATATTTACTAATAAAGATAAGAGCATATTACAGATTAAACGAGTCTAGAGATACGTAGATACCGTAGTCTCGTAATGCACTTACGTTCCACTTGTTCGTCATGAATCCATACAACTAACTTACAGATAACAGTGTGTTAGTATCCATTATCAACAATAAACAGAACGTAGTACCCAATAATGCTCTTAGATTTTCCCATGGTTTCTCATAAGGTGACATACTTGTCCCACAATAACAGAACAATAATATTAATGATGAACAGAAGGTAAATGCTCCGCTACATTAATAAGAGTGGAGCCATTCACATCATAACGCAAGTCACATAATCGTGTTATTGATATTCAATTCTTTTTTTGGATTGAGTCATTCAGAGGTTAATCTGATATTTAACATATTTTCACAACGGTTATTAACGTACAAAACAACCCGTAGTTTTAGCCAATTATTCGTTTTGATGATTCACTCTAGGTAGATATCTGTATCATATCGGTGTGTGCCAAATCCTTCAATGTTTACATAAGTTCGCATGAATTCTCACTCCACGTACATGTTAACTTAATTGACCACAAAGAATAGAATGTTAATAATAATAATTATTAACGGAAAATAATGTACATTTGTAGTACTATTACTCACAGTGCGGCAACGGAGTGCTTGACCTTGCCGAGGTATGACCTTGAACTTCAATCTCCAAGGAACTTCTCAATTTTCCTAAATTCTCTTCCTTGTTG